GTATAAAAAATATTTTTTTATGATGTTTATAAATTTTTTAAACTATTTTAACTTATTATAAAAAGAAGTGAGAAAAACAAAAACGCAAATAAATTAATAAATCAACCAACTGAACTTCTAAATTCATCCCAAAGGAAGCCCACAAGGGAAAACTCAAAGCATTATTATATGGGAACAGCCATGATATAGACCCCTTCCACTCACCACCCTTATAACCCTTCACAGATACGTGGTGAATGGTGATTGAAGGAGCAGAAAAAAAAGAAAAAAAAAAAAAAAATGTAACTAATGAGAGAGAGGGGGTCAAAGGGAGTGAGGGAAAAGGGGACATAAATATTTTTGATATGGGAAAATGCGTTGGACCTCCAGGGATACTGGGGTCCTCTCTGATTGGTGGAAAAAAATTATTATTATTATTTTATTTTTTTTTTTTGTTTTCCGTCAATGAGAAGCCGACATCTCACTGGGTTGTCAATAGAGGTCGGCTCACTAGAGGTCTGTAACACTGTAGCACTTCACTGAGGGTCTGGGGGTCCATTATATGTAAGTATTGTCGTGTAGTATATAAATGCCAGCAAAGCCATGACATCAGTTTCCCACTTCAGTTCACATACAGTTATATTAATGTAATTATTAAATATTTTTCTGTCCACAGAAGTTACTGGTGGATCTTAAGATAACATTACATAAATCTCGTTTGACAGTTGACTTGTCTTGATAAAAAATTAATTTTTGATTTTTTATCAAGTTTTTTAATTTTTTTAGAAGTGATTTAGAAAGTTGATAAAAAATTGACTTTTTACTTTTTAGTTTAATATTTATTTATGGTATTAAATCAAATTAAAATGACCAAAATATTTTTACCTAAAATAAGAGATTTATTTTTTTAATTTTTTTTCATAGGCCCTAATTTGTAATTTTAAGGCTACATTTTTTGCACTTCCCAAAGAGATTTTGTTGTGTTTTTGACAGTCACATTTTTGGATATTTTATTAAAAAACGTGACTTTTTATTATGTTCTCAAAATAATACTATTTTTATAAAAAATAAAAATAAAAAATAATCAACATGTAATCCACCACTTCTGTCTAAAAGAAGCAACAAAATAAAATTGTTTAAAGTATTTTTTATTTTGAAAGAAAAAGTAACAATCAGCACATAATTGTAAAAAGAGTTAGTATGTTAGATCATCTCTAACGATTCGTTAAATTTGGCATTAAATTTGAAATTTGATATAAAAAAAAAGTACTTTTTAAAGCTTCAACGGTTTCATCAAACTGGTATCAAATTGAAAATTGAACAAAAAAATTATCAAACTGAGAACAGGATACAGATTTCAGCAAATTACTGTTTGTGACTGTTGAAGGAGAGGAACCGATCAACCAGTCGATTGCCCGACCGGTTGACTAACCGGTCGACCATTAAAAGGTTCAAACAGTTCAAATGGGTAGGTTCAAACAATTCAAAAATATATATATACATATATATTTGCCTTATCGGTCGATCATTAAAAGGTTCAAACAGTTTAAATAAACAAGTTCAAACAATTCGGAAAAAAAAAAAAAAAAAAATTTGCCTTACCGGTCAACCAACCGGTTGTCTCTGGAGCAGATTTGATGAAAATCAACCATTGGAGTATTCTGTATCAGATTGGGAAAATGGTCAATTTTTTACTCAGATTTGATGAAAAATTAAGTAAACCGTTGGAGATGCTCTTAAAGATTCTAAATATTTTATCAAATCTCTAACATTAAATATTTTATCAAATCTCTCACACGGATGTGAAACCTACAAAAATTTGGATTTGTGTAAATATTATTGTATTTATTATCAATAATAGTAGGAAGCAAGGTTTTGAAACCCGGGCCGGACCGGCCGGTTCAATCGGTAACCAGATGGGGTTCCGGTCCGATTAGCCCTCTTAAACCGGCCAATTGCAAAAATCGGACTATTTATTGAAAACCGGTGAACCCACTGGTTAAACCGGTGAACCGGTTGACCCGGTCATGGGTTGATCGAACCGGTTCGGCTCTTCTTTTTTTTTTTTCTTTCTTTTCTTTCTTTCTTTCTTATTTTACATATATATATATTATATAAAATATAAGAATATAAGAATATAAGAAAATTTTAATTTGAAACTCTTTTTCTTATTTTGAGAAAATTGATAAAATCAAATTTTTGTTTTTTTTTTTTTGTTATTTCTTATTTTTTATATGTATATATATATATATAAAGAAAATTTTAATTGGAAACTCTCTTTTAAGGGTCTCCTCTTGTGAGGAATTTCATTAAGAGTTTTGATGAAATTATTGTGAAAGTCTTTACCTATTTATAAGAAAAAAATTCTTTCAAAAAGACTCAAGAAATTCATGTGGAATTCAATCAAATGTATTTGAGGGAATATTGAAATTTTGATATCCCTCCAAAATTTTTGCTTTCCTTTCAATCAAATTATTTGAATTAAAATCATATGGAGGGAATATTAAATATTTGATTTCATCTTCCAAAATTGAAATTAATAATATTTCAAAATATATTATTATATTTTTCAGTAAAAAAAATATTAAGACAAATATTTAAGATAATTTAATATTTTTAATATTTTTAATTTATAATTTTATTACTTATATTTTTATTTAAATATATTTTTAATATATTTATTACGTCACGGTTTAATTCCAGTTCAACCGTCGAATTGAACCGGTGACCCGTCCACCCAATTTTTTTTCTGATTCGTTCACCGATCCGATTTTTAAAACATTGGCAGGAAGCACCTAATATCTTTCCTAGTAACATTATATAACACACTCACTGTTATACTATACCTTCAGGTTTGAGAAAGCAAAACAAACCAATCAAAATGAGCAAAGCACAGCTGGTGTTCATCCCATCTCCAGGCATAGGCCACCTCGCATCGACGGTTGAGATGGCAAAGCTCCTCGTCGGCCGAGATGACCGCCTCTCTATCACCGTCCTCATCATGAAGTTTCCATTCGATAACAAGGGCACAACCACCCAATCACTCACCTCCGACCGCATACGCTTCCTCGACCTCTTTCACGAAACCTCTTCCACAGCCGATCCCAATTCCAAGACTTTGTTCTATGACTACATCGAAAATCACAAGACTCAAGTCAGAGACGTTGTCTCCGAGATAGTCTCGAAGTCCGAGTCTGAGTCCACTCCACGACTCGCTGGGTTTGTGATTGATATGTTTTGCACGTCCATGATTGACGTGGCGAACGAGTTCGGCGTCCCGACCTACGTCTTTTTCACGTCCAGCGCTGGTTTCCTGGGTCTCATGTTCCATATCTACACCCTTCAACAAGACATCACTGAGTTGAAAGACTCGGACGCTGAGTTGAACGTTCCGGCTTATGCCAACCCAGTCCCCGCAAAGGTCTTGCCTTCTGTTTTGTTCGACAAGGAAGTTGGGTTCACCATGTTCCTGAATATCACTAAGCGCTGCAGAGAAACCGAAGGTATTATAGTCAACACATTCACGGAGCTCGAATTCCATGCTCTCAAGTCCCTCCAAGACGACCATACAATCCCAAACATATATCCTGTGGGACCCGTACTCAATCTCAAAGGCGGCAGCCCAAACGAGGCCCAAAACAGCCAATCCGAAGCGGACATCATGAGGTGGTTGGACGACCAGGATCCGTCGTCGGTGGTGTTCCTCTGCTTCGGGAGCATGGGAAGCTTCGATGGAGACCAGGTCAAGGAGATAGCGCGTGCTCTTGAGAGTTGCGGACACCGGTTCTTGTGGTCCCTACGTCAGCCTCCACCCAAAGGAAATATTGAGCTTCCGAAAGAGTACGAAAATCCGACGGATGTCCTGCCAGAAGGGTTCTTGGATCGGACGGCGGAGATTGGGAAAGTGATAGGGTGGGCCCCGCAGGTGGCGGTGCTTTCTCATCGGGCGGTGGGAGGGTTTGTGTCGCACTGTGGATGGAATTCGACGTTGGAGAGCTTGTGGTGCGGTGTGCCGGTGGCCACATGGCCGATGTACGCGGAGCAGCAGATGAATGCTTTCCAGCTCGTGAGGGAGTTCGGAATGGCGGTGGAGATAAAGATGGATTATAAGATGGATTTTGGGATGAAGGAGATGCCGGTGATGGTGACGGCGGTGGAGATAAGTAGTGGGATAAGGCGATTGATGGACGGTAGTGATGAAATTAAGCACAAAGTGAAGAAGATGAGCGAGAAGAGCACGGTAGCCGTGACGGAGGGTGGCTCATCCTATAATTCCCTCGGATGCTTCATTGAAGATGTCATCAAAGGATGAGTTTGACTAGGATAATAGTGATAAAAAAAACAATAATACTAGGGATTATGGAATAAAAATCTTCATGAAGATTCTCTATTTTTGAATTAATATATAGTATTTATAGTGTTTTATTATATGTTGTACAATCATTTTTGAATTAATTTTATGAAATTTTTTATGATATTATTTTCATGATGCATAACCTTACTCTAAAAAAATGAAAAAATGTTTGGACCTCATTGGATGACTCTCGCCCTTTATCTATGTATGTGATCTACTTCTATATATATATATATATATATAGAGGTATATGTGAGATTTATATCATGATCTAAATTTATAAGAATCATTACTCTAAAAAATGAGTGAATCAAAATAAAATAAAATAACTTTTAAATTTGTTTGACACGGAAGTGGTGGAAATTGCATCTGGACTTCTTGTGGGAGAACACTAATGTTTGATGCCCGGAGGCTTACAATAATGTTTACAATGTGACTGTTTATTTTCGGATTCTCAATTTTATTTAATAATTAATGTTCTTCCAATTCATAAAATTAGGGGGAAATTATCAGAAAGTTCTATTTACCAATCTATTACTCCATCTGGTCCCATGTTCATTCTCTTGGATTGACAAGTCCTGTTTGATATGTTTTGTGAACAATCAAGTCCCGTTTTAAATTTATGTGATGTGCATGTGGACGGATTTAACCCTATTTTGTTTTTTCTCTACAGGTGTATATATGGGATGTGTGTGTGGACGGATTTTGTGGGATACGTTTCCTCATCCACGTTTGGCAATTCGGATCTGTCATTCAAAATCCCCATTACCATCATCATTGTCTTCACTCTCAGATTATCATCACACTCCACAAGCTCCTCCATGGCCGATCTCAGCCTCCCGATCACTAATTCCACGTGATTCGCATCTCCGTTCACCGCCGTCCTCGCCGCCTCCACCACCACCAGCGCCGCCATCCTCCCCTGAACCCTAACCACCTCCTCCTCCAATTCCCTCTCTTCTCCTCCTACCTCCGCCGCCAATCTTTCCAATCTCCTCCTCTGCTCCGTCGATAGATCCACCACGTATTTCTCAACGAGTTAAGAAACGAGTCCTGGTTTTAACCCCGCGATCCACAGGAACGAGCGCTCCAGCGAGCTCAACCAAGTCGGGGACAAAACGATGAACACGTTCCGTCGAATTGCTCTCGATTTTTCGGCATAGTATTGTTTGTAGTGAGCGGAGACTCGAGCGATTAGATCTCTAAATCTGACTTCATCTTCTTCTTCTTTGATTCGTTCTATGACGAACTAGCCAGCCATTGAAGAAGACTTGAAAGGCTTCGACATTGTCGAGTTATTAAAATGTGGGACTTCACGGGATGGACTTGCAGTATGAAGTGGGAAACCAAAATGTGGTTCAGCAAATTGACGTGGGCCATCAAAAAGTGGTTCAACAAACTGATGTGGTCTACCAATTTGTGGTTATGAAAAATGAAGTGTGCTTCCCAAACGTGGCTTTCCAAAATGTTTTAACCCACCAACGTGTGGGTCACAGGATGGACTTCCAGTACGATGTGGATTGGATTCTGTGTGAACCCAACCAATGATTTGGTTCACGTCGAAACGTCACAAATGGCAATTGAAAAACAAAGTGTCAAACTCTGGGAAAATCGAAACGTGACACAGTTACACGTATCAAATTGCTCGTTCAAACTGTGTCAAATTACTTGGTTCACAAAAAAAAAAAAAAATGTGTCAACTTACTTCTGTTTACGTCACAACCCACGTCTCATGTTGTGAGTGTTACACACTTACTAAATTAAAAAAAGTATTAGTGTGCTTTTTCGATCAGCATGACACACAAACACCCATACACCTTCTCCCACACAAACCCACACCAAATGTCAATCAATAATACTAGCAGTGACAAAATTGTCAACAAACAAATTAAGGGACTATCCAGTCACTAACAAAACATTCAGGACCTTATGGATTACAAGTCCATAAAATAGGATTTACTAGTGAATTCCCCTAAAATTAAATATTAAATCGTTCATTTCAAATATATATTTCCAATCAAAGTCTAATGTTCTAAATTTTGCCAATTACGCCTTGGCTTAGAACAAATATTGATGGCAATAGTAAATTGTGTCAGCAGTTTTTTTTTTTACTTAAAAAAAAAGACGAAATCAAAATTTCAAATAAAGTAGTCGTCACGACAAAAAAGATACAGGGTTTGCTTTTTAATTTATGTCAAGTTTGGAAAGATTAAATAAATGTATTTTTTAATTTTTTTGTATTATGTGTAGAAAAAGTAGAGATGAGATGTTGATTGATGTGATTCAAAAAAAAATAAAATAAGTGCACTTTTTTAGGTTAGTCAAACTTGACTTTAGTGATGTATTAATAAAATAATTAATAAATAATTAGATAATATTTAGAAGATGTTTGATATTACCTATGAAAGTCAAACTACAAAAAGTAAAAAAATTAGTATACTCTTTAGAATTTTTGGACGGGAAGTCTGTGAAGTCAGAAAATAAGTAAGCTAAAGTTTGGAAAGATTAAATAAGTGTATTTTTTGATTTTTTTGTATTATGTGTAGAAAAAGTAAAGAGGAAATGTCGATTGATGTGATTCAAAAAAAATAAAAAGATGAAATAAGTGCACTTTTTTAGATTAATCAAAATTGACCTAAATAAATAAAAAATACAACAAAAAAAAAAAGAAAGCGTGGCACAATCTAAGCCACATATTTCCATAAAAAATAAAATAAAAATAAATGAAATGCGCGGAAAGCCAGCTCAATGATGTTGCATGTGTTAAGAAGGGCAATTTAGTAATTTTGATATTTATTACAATATTTTATTATATATTTTTTTTTATAAAAAATTAAAAAATTATTCTAAACATACATATTTCTTCTCTACTTTTTTTAATTAATTTTGATATTCATTATAATATTTTATTATAAAAAATTAAAAAATTATTCTAAACATACATATTTCTTCTCTACTTTTTTTAATTAAAAATTTAAAAATACACTTATATAAATCATCTCAAACAACTATTTAATTATTAATTAATGGCATCATCTCTGTTCATATCTTGTGGATATTTTAGGAGAGCACGACACCTCATTAGCTAAGGCCCTGTTTGGGATTATAAGGGTTACAGGGAGGGGAACGGGATTGATAATGAGGTGGAATTTACTATACGTCATGTTTGTTTTGAGAGATGGGATGGAGACTTTTAATCCATTGGTATTAAAATAGGCCTTGGAATGTGGATTCGGATGAAGGAGGTAGAAGTGGTATTAAAATTTTAGTCTATTGAACTATTTTTATTTATTATTTTTTTTTTTTTTACATGTTTGGAGAAAAAAAAATTGAACATTAATATTTAATTTTTTTTGTATTTTTTGTTAAGTAAAAATCATTGTTTTATTTATTTTTATTTTTTTGAAATTTTTTTTTTTTATTTTTTTTTTCACATGTTGGCCATTTTTTTAACATTAATGTTTAACGTTTTTATATTTTTTTATTTATTTTATATAAAAATAATTTAAAAATCCCTACATTAACAACTATTATCAAAACAAATACAATTTTACTTAATCCCTTCACCATCAAGCCTCTTACCAACAATCACCTCACTATTAATCTCCTTACTATGAATCTATTCCATTCTATCTCTGAAAGCAAATGGGCCCTAAGAGGACTGTTGGGCTCCTTTTGTTTTGAGAGATAGATGGTAGATTGGGATTAAGATGAATGTAAGACTCACTAATGTTGTGGCTGTTTTGGGAGATGGAGAGCAGATTCATAACCCCCTTCGGATTAGGATGGGCCTTGGAAAGAAGATTAAGATGGAAGTTTGGGACTTAATATTAGAAAATAGTCTGCCAGACTATTTTTATTTTTTTATTTTTATTTTTTTTTACACGTTGGGTATTTTTTTTTTTTTTGAACATTAAAGTTTACTTTTTTGTATTTTTTGTTAAGTAAAAATCATAGTTTTATTTATTTATTTTTATTAAATTTTTTTTTCACACGTTGGGCATTTTTTTTTTAACACTAATATTTAATGTTTTTGTATTTTTTTTATTTGTTTTATTATTTTATATAAAAATAATTTAACAATCCATACACCAACAATTATCATCAAAACAAATACAATTTTTGTTAATCCCCTCACTATTAATCCTCTCCGTAACAATCCCTTCATTACGAATTATCTCCATTCTATCTCTGAAAACAAATGGACCCTTGGGTCCATGAATTTCTATTTGGTTGATTCAAATAGGCACTGGATTAGCATTCCACTCGGATTCACAATCCTCCTTAGAGACCAGATTAGTATAGTTATAAAAGGGGTAGGATTAAGAAAATAGTAAGCAGATTGAATCTATCTAGTCGTCCGGTCGGTTGTTCGATACAATGTAATATTTTTTTTTTTCACAAAATAGTTGCCCGGCCAAAAAGCACCTATTTGTTTTAATATTTATTTTAATTTTTTAATATAAAAGTAATTTATTTATTTATTTTATATAAAAGTAATTTAATAATCCCATCACCAATCTTTTCCTCCATTATTATCAATACAAGCACACTTTTACTTAATCCCTCGCTAATAATTCCCAGATGAATAATCTCTTCACTAATTATCCCCCCACTAACAATCACTTCATTAACAATTTCTTTTATTTGTTTATTTTGCAGGTTGGTGGCTAAAGCCTAAACCACCAATTCTATGAGGACAATTATACTACAAGCATGCAATACAAAGCTCAAACACAATGAACCACTAAAAATAGTCCTAAAACAGTGCTGAAAAGTCCTAAAACATGCTAAAATTAAGACAAAAATAGCTAGAATAATAAGCTGAAACATAGAGCTATGTAAGCTAGTAAGCAAGACAAAAAAAGGGGAGGCTAACCCCTCCAATTTTGGACTTCAAAACAACATTTTAGCCACTGAAATAACTCTCAAAATTAGTGTTTAAAAGCTCAAAAAAGATAGTGTAACACAAGGGTAAAGGCCAGAGAAGCAAGGTGGAGAGCAAGGCCTTAAACCACAAGTTTCAGCCCAAAACAACAAAGTTTAAACAGTCCAAAAACGGTAGAAAAACAGTAGAAAAAACAATAGAAAAATAGCAAACAAAACAAAGAAACAAATCAAGTCTTATATCTCTTGAAGATGAGAGCACTTCCAAGCAACAATTCAACACAAACACATCCTCAAAAGCTCAAAGAATCCTCAAAAGTACCTCAGCTCAAAGATGGTAAGGTTTGGTTTAGAGTGTATAGGTAAAAGGTCAAGAAATTTGCACAAGAGAGAGAGAATTGTAGAGAGAGAGAGAAAAATAATTTTGCTCCAAAATTTTCTAACCTTGAAAGCAAGAGGGGAGATCCTCTATATATAGAAAACCATCGCACTCCCTCAAAAATATCAATACATACACGTGTAAAAAGGTGCATGCATCTGTGCCAACAGCTGACAGAAAAATATCTACAAAACACACTTGTGGCTGGCAGGCCACTAATGCTGGCTGGCAGGCCACATCAGTGGCCGGCAGCCAGGAACAATGGCCGGCAGCCCAAAACAGTGGCCGGCAGGCCACCATAGGTTACAAGCTCCCTCAAAAATATCAATACATACACGTGTAAGAAGGTGCATGCATCTGTGCCAACAGCTGGCAGAAAAATATCTGCAAAACACACTTGTGGCTGGCAGGCCACTAATGCTGGCTGGCAGGCCACATCAGTGGCCGGCAGCCAATAGTAGTGGCCAGCAGACCATAAGAGGTTGCAGACTTGAAAAACTTTAGTTTTGGTCCAAAAATGAAGCAACAGGTGTGTAGGGTTTGAAGGCTCAAAGCTGTGGCGTTCCGTTGAGGACTCTGAGCACTTAACAAGAATATACACTCATTATTGGGTGTGCAAGTAGTGACATCCAAGTCATAAGGGCAGTCGAAAATAGGGTGTTTACAACACCATGGGTTCTTGGGGTCGACACCACCTTGCTGCCTTACTCTTGGTGTCTCTACTAGTTTTTGGGGTCGACACCACCTTGCTATTTTTTGGGGTCAACACCACGGGTTCTAGAGTCGACCCTCTTGTTTGCTGGAAACATAAGTGTCTTAGCATCTCTTCTTGAGGGTCGACACCACTGCCTTGGGTGTCAACCCCTACGACTTATTTCCAGAATTTTGGGTTTGGTTTAGGCCTTACTTTTGGGAGTTTTTTGACTTATTATTTTCATTGACTTTAGGGCTATTGTTCTACCACTATAAATAGACCTCAAACAGACTTTCCTCATTCATTTCTTTTCTCTCTATCTCTCTCTCTCTCTCTCTCTCTTCCCTCTTTGAGCCATGAATCTCTCCCTTTCTCTCTAAACTCAACTTTTCTCACATAGATCTCTAGATCTACTTGATTAGGGACATCTTTTCACCTTGGTCCTTTGAGAAAAGTTGTAGATCTCATCAAAGGCTTTCTTTTGATCCAAAAGCTTCATGTTTTTGTCATTGTTGGCCTTTGGGGCTTTTTGCCTTTCTCCTCTTCCGGAGTTGAGATAAGGTCTATTTCCTTAACTCAACATGAGTTCGATAGCATATTTGTGGCGTATTTTTCTATTTATATTTGGTAGTCATTTGATTGATTTTGAAATGTTATTTTCGGCTTGAGGGTTTTGTGAAATTTGGGGGGGTTTAGGCTATAGTTATGCTACTACGGTTATTTTTGGTGTACAAATTGCATATGGATTTCTAAAAGTGAAAAAATCCCAATTTGTAAAAAAAAAAACCCTAAATGTTATTGTTTTGGGAGTTAGATTGATTTTTTATTGGAAAGAGATGGAAAGGAAATGGTTCTGGGATTTTGAAAGTAGGTGTTGTTACTCTTTTGGAAAAATATATTTGTATTGTTATCTATTAATTATTGCATTGGAGATAATTATTTTGGCTATTGGTGGAGGATAGCACTGCCGTGTGTTAGAAATTGCATGTGGATTAGGCAATTTGAAATCATTCATATCATGGAGCATGTAATGGATTTTTGAAATTTAAAACCGTATGTTTGGAAAGAGGCTTTGGAAATTCTTGTACTTTACTTTGGAACATTTGCATTGTTTTGGAAAAACAATATTTTGAATCACACGTGTTATGCTATTGGAAAAAGGTAAATAAAGTTGTAAAGCCATGAGGGGGTGTTAAAGCAGAATTAAGTTGGCCTGTGTATCTATGGTGAAAGACCTAAACCCGCGCGGTAGGTGTCGAGCCTTTCAGTTAGCACCGGTAAAAATAACCTTGTGACTTATATAGTTACTCATATGAACACTAGTCCTGGAGATTTACCCATTTTATTTATTATCATTTTGGCTTGAAATGATATTTTGGAAAAAGGTTTTAGCAATGTATTTGTTGTTGTTTAGCGATGTATTCACATTTGATTTAACAATGTATTTGTTGGTTGGTATTGAGATACCTGGGTTGGTTTTTAGAAAGAGATTTTATGTCAAACAAATGTTTTGAACTCGGAAAACGTTTTGATTAAACGTAAGGTTTGGTAATTAGAAAGAAAAGATTTTCTTGAGAAATCAGATGGATTTGAAAATGCATTTGAGCATATTATATATATGTATTGCATCATGATCCTTTATGTTGGTGGAACATGTTTAGTTTTTGAAATATTCTCTACTGGGCTTTATGCTCATCCTACGTGACTGAAAATGTTTTTCAGGTGTGCATGTGTGGATATGGATAGAGACGTGAAGTTGTGTTTGGAACCACACAAGGTGGTTCTGTTGCTTGTAGGTCGTGGGCCATATATGTTATTTATTTGGCATTCTTGTAAGGGTTACACCCTTTGTATATAATGTAAGCCTCAAGGCGTTCACTTTAATTTATAACATCTGTGTATGTTTTTAGTTACAAAACATCTATTCGACTTAGATGTTGTATCTAGAAATATATGAAATCGGATAAACACATGTATTGTGTGACTATATTATATTCATGTGCATGAGAGTTGTTATCTATTATTTATCATTGAGTGGTTTATTCACGTGTGTAAATACGGTGCGTGATATAACCCATTGGAGTGATTAAAATTTGATAACAAGAGGCTACCAAAATATTGTTAACTGACTAAAATATTGTAATTGTAGTGGTCAAGCATATTCAAGAAAATACTAAGGGTAAATCACAAATATATTTCTTGAGTTACCTTAAAATATAATTCAGTATGTTTGGTTTGAGTTTTTTGGATTAAGTTTTTTGAAAATTGACTTTTTTGATTTTCGTGTTTTTTTATTTTTAGTGAATATTTTTTAAATTTTAAACATTTTTTTTACTTTTTTAGATGCACCTTACTTAGATGTATCTAAAAAGTAAAAAAATTGTAAAAAATTAATAAATACATAAAAATACAAAAAAATACCGAATTCTTATATTTTTTTGTATTTTTGGTATTTAGTGAATTTTTAAAAGATTTTTTTTTACAATTTTTTTTACTTTTTAGGTGTATTTATGTTAGGTGTGTCTAAAAAGTAAAAAAAAAAATTGCTTAAAATATTAAAAAAATTCAGTAAAAATAAAAAAATACGAAAAATAAGAAAGTAGAATTTTCTGCAAAGTATTTTTTGAAAAGTGAAAACAAACAAGGTGATTAGCTTTCGTGGTTTAAATATTTATATCTCGCCCATTAAAAGTTTTAATCGCATAAGAAATGACTTGTTTCATTAATTAACCATTAAATCAATTAACAATTTTAATAATACCAATAATATATTTTAATTAATAGTTATGATAATCACATTGTTGTATTAAAAGGAAGTTAAGAATTTTTTTTTCTTTTTTGTCAATTTTGTTAAATGAAAAACTTTAATAAGAGGGTATTTGTAAGTTTTAAAATCATAGGGGATAATCTGTGTTTTCAAGCAAACCTCAGAGAGTATATTTGTAATTTATACAAACATTAAACCATTTGTTTAAAGAAGCTAGGGCAAATTATACTGGTAGCCCCTATACTTTGTCTTCGTATCATTTTGGTCTCTCTAATTTCAATTGGCTCGATTTTAACCATGAATTTTTTACTTTTTGTCTCAATTTGTTCCAATTGATTACAATTTTAGCATTATTTTATAAAAAATACGCACATGAATGACATATGTCATGCTTTTAAGGCCAAAATTGTAAGCTTGATCATTCCATGAGTTAATTTCAATCAATTTAATAATTATT